GGAATGAACTCCCTTTTAAACTGTGCTCCCTTGATAACATTGACTCTTTCAAGAAACACCTAAAACTCAATTTTTCACTCAAGCGTTTAGCTAACCATTCACCGTTATGGCAGGCATACCTCCATTGTGAATGCTCGACAATCTGTGTTTTATTTATTATTGAACTTACGCCATATTTTTCTCTCCCGCATTCATTATGTTTTTGTATTATTGTATAATTTGACCTGCATTGACCTTGTGTTTGATTTACAATTTTTGAAATTAATTTCYTGATTTGATGTTTCAATTTTTCGTTGCTTTTGTTTAATTATGTTTTTCTGCTTCATTTTATTCTTTCCACCTTTTATACTGTTAATGATTGTACAGCACCTTGTGAATATATTTTTGTTAAAGGTGCTTTATAAATAAAACTTTTTCTTACTATATCGATGAGACATTCATATCTGACTGCTGTGGACCGCTTCCAACTGAGTGTAAAAATCACTGATATCAGCCAAGTCTCATTGAAAACACACTGCCATGTTTAAACCACAAGCAGTGGACATGACTGRACTTCTTTGTTTTTTTGGCAGGTGAACAAGCTGCTGTATGTGGGGGGTTGTAGCAGCAAACAGATCAAAAACATGGAAGTAAACTGTGCCATTTTTTTCCTGCAGTTATCACAGGATTTGTAGTTTAACTTGCACAAAGACCGGTAAACTTAGCCCTTCATGAAGACGGATCAAGTCAATCTCTGATTACGATGCTTTATTCTTGTTCATTTATGCAGCCAACGCTTCTCAGGAATGATCGAAAGTAAAGAAATTAAGACTTGACAAAATTAAATTTAAGACCTTGGATAAAAACCTGGGCGTTTTAAAGACTTTTTTTAGGCCTAAAATTTTGATTTTCAAATTTTAGACTTTTTTTTAGACTTTTTAAGACCCTGCATGAACCCTGTGAGCTGCATTTATGACAACTTCAGTTGAAAACACAAAAGAATGAAAATATTGATATATTTTTTCAGTGCGTTTCTTTCAGTGTCATTTTTTCGAGTGTAGAATTTCCATTAAAATGTCTCCAAGCAGTGCAGCACACTGGCATGGTTCAGCTTACCTTTGTGCCGGTCCATTTTATTACTGTTGGCAATGAAAGACATTTCCTCAGGCCAGCTCATGTCTTTGTTTCTGACTGTAGAGGAGGAAAAATTAGGTTTTAATATTAGGTTCTTAGTATAAAAAAGACTTTAATTAATGATTGAAGGCTGGACAAACCTTCGATAACGAGCTGCTGTTCATCCTGGATCTTCAGGCTCTCCAGCGTATGATCTTCATCATCAAGCAGGGTGAGGTAGTTCTAAACATCAGGAAATGAAATTTCATTTCAACACTTGATTTCATACTGTCACCAGATTACTGCTCATCTTCCTTTGATATTTTTTGAAACACTTACATTATATCATATATATCATACATTCTAGTTCTTCGTCCCTGTGTGTTAGTGGCTGGTGGTCTCACAGCAGCTACCTAAACATTACACGTCAGAATGGTCTCAGACATCTTAAAAGCGTTATTTCTCATGTACAGTGGTGGGCAACGCTAATCCAAAAATTAGCTCTGCAATTTCTAAAGCACTTATGCCATAGAAAAACTAGCAGAAGCCAATTTTAAAACACAAGTTCAATTTGACACTCACTAGCTAACAATTCATGTACAATATATGCACAACACTGCCAACTAGTGGTGCATGAACTCTTTTACAGCTTGATTCTACAACCACCACTTGCTGGGGATGTGATTTCCTGAAACAGACATTTGGCTCCTGGTGTAAAAATTAAAAAGTTGTTGAGGATTGCTAGTTCAGCTGCTTCTTTGTCTTTTTCTTTTGTTTGTTGTAGATTTTTCATTAAAGAAGCATCAATAAAGTAATTTTAAAACAGTTTATTGGAAAACCGAAGCAATAAATTCTGGGTAGTACATGACGGATTTGATTTGTGACGGGAAACGAAAGCACAAGGAACAGGAAACTAGTATCTTCCCTTCAAAATAAGAGCTTGGATTTTAGTTTCCCATGTTTCCACTGGATTTTAAAGTTTTCCAGTTCACCTGAAACTTATCAGACTGAAGAAGTCTCTTGGAGGAGAGACGAAACG